GGGGGGGGTTGCATAAGCAAGCAAACTAAGAAGAAATCTCCAAGCGCCTGCTTAGGCTAGGGGTTCAGTCCTCAGCATCACATGCCACACCGGCTCCGCCCCTGGTGCACTGAGCCATCACCAAGACCAGCCACTGAGGCCAGGCATGGTAGCACACACCTATAATCCCAGCTCTGGGGAGGCTGAAAACAGGAGGATCACTATGGTGTGAACTGCATAGTGAGAACCCCATACCAAATACATAACAATGAAGAAGAGGAAGGAAAGGGGAAGAGGAAGAGGAAGAGGGAGGAGGAGGAAGAGGAACAGGAGGAGGAGGAGGAGGAGGAGAAATAATCTTCTGAGGGGAAGGTATTATCCGTCTGCTTACCATTGTTCTTCTCGCTGTCAGCAGGTTTCATCTGTATAGGATGATGCATCTGAAAAAATGAACAACCACAAACATTACCTTCACATACATGGATAGCATTCAAATCAGAAATGAAGACTATCGAAGAGATACTCAACTAAAACCCTAGGAGATCTCATGTCTGCCTCATGAACTTTTCCCACAAAACATAACAGCTAGAATGAATCAAGAAGCCAAAACTCTTGGCAAGGTAAGAACTGTTTTCAGTTCACATTCTTTTATGTTTCTTGGTACTGGGAATTGAACCAGGACCCTGCGCTTGCCATGGTGGCAGGTGCTGTGCTGCTGAGCTATCTTGCTGGCTCTCAGCCCCTATTTTTATTTCCTCCTTTCTAGCAACCCCTGTGGTGGCTCCATCTCCCCAAGACCGATTTCCAGTGTGTGCCCAATACTTGATAATTGTATTGTAAGGATTATAGGTGTGTGCTACCATGCCTGGCCTCAGTGGCTGGTCTTGGTGATGGCTCAGTGCACCCAGGGGCGGGGCTGATGTGGCATGTGGTGCTGAGGACTGAACCCCTAGCCTAAGCAGGTGCTTGGAGATTTCTTCTTAGTTTGCTTGCTGATCTTTTTTTATTTTTTCCCCCAGAACCGGGGATTGAACTCAGGCCCAATACAGTCCATGCATCACAACCACTGCAGTTCTGTTCCCTCAGAGAATTCTTACCCCAGGGAGGACTTTCATGTTGTGAAGAGCATTCTGTGCTTCTAATGCAGCTTTACGAGTGTAAAATGTAACAAAACAGCACCCTAAAATAAACAGATTATACAAAATCAAGCCAGTACTTTGAAAACAACACTTTGTATCTTTGATTATGCATACCAGAAAGATAAAATAATTCCTCTGCTTCTAGATCCTAAACTGGTTTCAAACATGACAACCATGCTTGTTCACACTTGCACACAGGAACAGCTTTCACGGCAAGTTTCTCTTAAAATTGTTCCCTGAAAAACGAGAGTTATCTGAGAGCACATGCAGATCTGCCACCAGTCCTATAGAACGTCCACTCTGCTGCTATTTCTGGAAGCAGCTTAGCCTTCCCTTTCCTGCGCACTGTGCAGGCTACAGCAAACCAGCTGCCTAAGGTAAGTCCCTCCTGAAAGGGTACCGTGTCCCATGTGGGCTCTGCAACACAGCCCCCAGTCGTTTTCCCCTTTGCTTGCAACCCAGCCTGGTTAACAGTCATATTTTGGTCTATTCCAAGACCAGTGGGGACACTCCCATGGATCTATTTCTGGAACTTGGAGCTCTCACAAAGGACTGCACAGATCCAATTTACAAGTTATCCTCATGATACCACCTTGATTTTTAATTTTCAAGCCGGTGGAAAATACAGCTCCTATAAAAGGACAGATGTTTTTCCCTACACAACTGCAGAAGCACCCTGACAACAGGGACAGGGTGCGCAAGGCAGAAATGACATGTAAAACCTAGTAATTCCCTTCAACCCTGTTACAAACCCAAAGGCCTCACCTTTGCTCTGAGGAGGGTTTTGGCTCCTATCCCTTAAGACATTGATTTCATAGACAGCACCATACTGTTCAAAGAGTTCCCTCAAGTCCTTCTCAGACCAGGTTCTAGGAACCTGGCCCACAAACATCTTGATAGCATCAAGATCCGGTTGGTCTGGGTGGTCCAGGGTGCCGTTCATCTTCTTTGAGCTGCATGAGATAAAATGAGACTTTCATTATATATCCTTACTACACTCCAGAAGGAGATTTCTTTAAAGATTTCAACTAATTTCTGAAAAAAAAAAAAAAAAAAAAAAGATTTTCTTTTTAAACTTTATTCAGTAGTGGTACTATTCAGTGTACTGGTTTCCTGTCCTCACTCAACATGATTACTCTCTCCATGGATGCCACAATCACCATTCGGATGAGGGTACTCTGGTTTTAACTAAGAAACTGACAGCATTACTTATTCCTTGTCTAGTATGAGAATTCTCAGAGGAATTTACAAGACTTTGCTCTCAAAGCAAGAACAAGTTTTAATAATATTTAAGTACAGTTAACAAAACTTATATCATAAAATGACTACAAAACTGACTAAAGATAAATTCAGGACTCCTTTGAGCAGCCAAAGACAGAGAAACTTTTTTTCCAGTAGCTGCTACAACAAAACCAGCAGATTATCAAGCCTATATACTAGGAGCTAACTAAAAAATGGCCTTTGATGTGGCTATTGCAACACAACCCTCGTGCTCTTGAGTTACAGCCAAAATAAACTCTGCCCCTTCAACTGCTAAACATGATTAATAATAATAACAACAATAATATACATAATATAAATCATGCTGCCATGACCCTAGGGTTTTTCCCCTAAATTTTTTTTTTTGTGGGGGAGGGTAACCGGGTATTGAATTCAGGTCAATTCAGGGGATTGCCAGGCAAGTGCTTATTCTACTGAGCCATCTCCTCGGCCCCGTAAATTATCTAATGTACTGCTACTGATCCAAGTTGGATTCCCTCACCAACTTCAACTACTGTGAAGCCCACAAATTCCCACAGTCCTGTTACAACAAACTGTAACACTATTTTAAAATCTTCACTCTTGCCTCTGCCACTCTCAAGAACCTAAGGGGACATTTCACCCCCATTTAATCAACATTACCTAGCAACTATACTTGTAATCTTATTGGTTAACCATAGTTTTGTCTTACTTAAGGATACCTAACCTGGATGGCCTTACTCAATAAACACCCTTGAAAAATGGGGTTGGTGGGCAACCCACTTTCTGGGCTCCCTTCTGCCCAAGAGAAGCTCTTTTTCTTCAAATAAATTCTGAGAGACAGGAGAGGAGAGAGGAAAGAGGAGAGAGGAGAGAGAAGAGAGGAGAGAAGAGAGGAGAGGAGAGAGGAGAGGAGAGAGGAGAG